TGCCTGGAGCTGAGGTCCAGGACAGGGTGAGGGTTAGGGGTGGCAAATACTGTACATTTTATTAATTGATTTCATTATGCTCCGTAGTGGAGAGAAAAACAGGATAGGGAAAAGAGATCAGGAATTGGGCAGTGGGGGCTGTGATTTTAAACGGGAAGGTCAGGATGGTCTCCTTAAGAAGGTGATGCTTGGGGCGCCTGGGTGGCTCAGGGGGTTAAGGCCTCTGCCTTCGGCTCAGGTCATGATCCAGGATCCTGGGATCGAGCCCCGCATCGGGCTCTCTCCTCAGCTGGGAGCCTGCTTCTGCCTCTCTGTCTCTGCCTGCCTCTCTGCCTACTTGTGATCTCTGTCTGTCAAATAAATAAATAAAATCTTAAAAAAAAAAAAAAGGTGATGCTTGAGGGGTGCCTGGGGGGCTCGGTCGGTTAAGCATCTGCCTTCGGCTCGTCATGATCCCTGGGTCCTGGCATAGAGCCCCACATCGGGGTCTCTGCTCAGTGGGAAGCCTGCTCTGCACCCCAGCTGTTTCCCCAGCTTGCGCTCTCTGGCTCTCTCTCTGTGTCAGATAAATAATAAAATCTTAAAAAAAAAAAAAAAAAAAGAAAGGTGTTGCTTGAGAAAAGAGATGAGGAAGCCATGGGCATAGACCACTCCAGGCAAAGGGAACAGGCTGTGCAAAGGCCCTGAGGCTGGGCCACAAGCAGTAGCTTCAAGTGATCCAGACAAAGCCCACAGGGCTGAACAGAGGGGTATGTGGAAGACGTGAGGGCAGGGAGGTGACAGCCCTATATTAAAGCCCACCCCAGTCAACATCACTGATGGAAAAATGAGATCCAGAGGCTGAAGTCTGCAGAGCTTGTCCTGCCTACTGTCCCCTTCTGTCTCTGTCCTTGTCCCCTGAATCTAAGAGGGGAGTCAGTCTCCCTTGCTCCAGCTGTAGCTCCATGGTGCCTGCCAGGATCATTGTCATAGCTGAGCCGGGGCCAAAGGGAGCTGCCCTTAGGCGCACCCATCCCCAGTTTGGAGAGGGGTGGGGTGGGGAGGACAGTGGCAGCCACCAGGGCCCTGGCTCAGCGGGACCACCGATTTCTGTTCCAGAGTCCAAGGGTCTGCATCCTCTCATTAAAGCATCTGAAGCTGCTAAGGTTTGGGGACACGCCTGGGTCAGTGGCGAGGGTGAGAAGGGGGACAGGATCCAGGCAACCAGGCCCTCGCCATATGCATGCAGGGAGTGGGGGGCTGGGTCCTTTTTCCTCCACCTGAAAAGGGAGTCTTGGCAGGCTGATGGCGGGACCATCCTCGATATACAGTTGCATTGGTTTTTGCCACCTGCCATCTCTGTCCCCTCCCTGAGAGCATCCTGTTCCCTATTGAGCTCTGTGCCCTGCCTGGCCTACCCACCGTGTCACTGCTGCTGCCCACCCCCTCCTCCTGCAGTATCCTCCCTGCCTCCATACCCTCTACCTGTGCTCTCTCCCTGGCTGCTTCACTTCCTCAGGGAAGTCTTCAAGGTCAGGGGAGCTCCCATCATGGGAAGGGGTAGACTTGCCCACCGGGAAAAGGGATGGATTCTCTTTCTTCCTCCTGCCAGCCTCCTGGGCCACCAGGGTTCCTGGAATGACCCCTGCACTTAGGGGACAAAGCACCCCGCAAACTGCAAAGCAATGGTGCTCCACCCTCTTACCCTTCAAGCCAGGACCCTCCCAGGGTCTGCTGTCGTTGGACTGGGGCCCCCTGAGACCTTTGTTCTCTTCATCTGCCCCTCTGCCCATGCTCCCCCTTGCTCACTTCGATCCAGTCACGCTGTCCTCCTTGTTATACCTCCAACATGCCAGACCAGCTCCTGCCTGAGGACCTTTGCACATGCTGGTGCCTCTGCTTGGATGGCCCTTCCTCCAGATGTCCACCTGGCTCTTCCTCATCCAGGTTTCACACCCATATGTGCAACATGTATAAATGACAGACACGGGGATAGACAGAGGTGGGGGCAGGGAGGGGGGCACAAGCACAGGCTAGAAGGGCTCTCTCCAGGGTGTGGATGGCACGGGCTTGGCCCCTCCTCAGATTCACAGTCATGGGATTCTGGAGCAAAAGATGGGATTGGGAGCCCAAGATGGGGCAGGGAGAGAGTTGAGCTCCTGCGCATTCATTGTGGGGAACTGGTGGGACCGTCTCATATTAACAGAGGTATGAAGTCGAGATCGAAGGAGGAGAAAGACCTCCTCTATGCCACTCTGGTCTGAGCCCATTCAAAGTGTGGCAAAGAAGGGCCCATTCTGAATGGCTTGGGGTGGAGTGGGCAAGACAGCCAAGTAAGGGAGGAAGACCTCTCTCACTGAATTATTCAAGCAGAGGATTCAGAAATGCAGCTGAGCTGACCATTTCCTCCTTTTTGAAGCCCTTGCTCCCTGGCTCCTGGCTTGCCACCTACTGTTTCCTTGTGCCCTCTCTCTGCCCAATTCCCCCCAGGTGGGGATGTCTCCCAAGCTCCAAGCTTGCTTCTTCAAAGCCTACCCTGCACCTCGCATCCACCTGGGTGTCTAGCAACATCACAATTTTCAGACGCACCTGAGCCTGCTCCCCAATAAACCACCTGCTCTCCAATCAGCCGCTGCTCCACCACCCCCACCGGCGCGCTCTCCAGGATCCCAACACTTCTTCATCCCCACCTCCATCTGGACCAGTGAGGTTGCTTCCAGGCTCCTCTCTTAGCTCCTCCACATCTCTGTACCCTGGTCTCTCTGCCCTGTTCACTCTGAATCATCCTTAGTAACCTACCAATGATCACCTCCTCCAAGAAGCCTTCCCTGGGGAGGCTCACCCCGGGATGAACCAGCCACACTCCTCCGGGCTCCCTCCCCCCAGACATCCAGGCATCTGGATGCTTATTAGCAGCCCCGAGCTGTGCTCACCTCTGCCAGCTCACCTCTGCGGTGATGACTGCTATTAGTCCCATTTTACAGAAGCAGCTGAAGCAAGGAGGAGGTGAAGTCACTAGCCTGCGGGCACTGAACTCAAGCGGGCAGGACAAGGTCAGAGGCAGCCTCCAGACAGAGGGAGAGAGGACAGCCTGTGGTGCCCAGATAAGAGGAGACTGTCCCCGGGCGCCTGCTTTCCTGTAGGTATCCTGAGGGTGGTGGGAGGCCCATCCTGTCTCCCCCTCACCTCCTGGCCACACTGCCGAGTGATCACTCCAAGCCAGGTGCTGGGCCAGCCAAACACTTTACACGCCTGACTCACTCCATCTGCAGAAGGCCCTGGTCTGCAGGTGGGCACAGTTACACAGCGCCCCCATTTCTCAGAGCAGGAAATGGGGGCTCATTACGCTGTGAACTCCTGCTGGCTCTGGTGCCCTCCCCCAGTCCCTCGAGGCCAGAGGCCGCCACTGGGATCAGCCAAGCCCTTTCCTAGCCAAGGCTTCCTTGGATCAGAACAACATTCCCAGGGATAGGTTCTACTGACCCATTTTACAGATGGGCAAACTGAAGCTTGGAAAACTTTCCCCGGAGGTCACGAGGCCAGTTCCACCACCAAGTGTCCCAGCTCATTTCTACTGCCTCTTCACTCCCCTCTCAGGACACCTCCACTGGGAGCAGGTGAGCTGGGAAAGCAGGCAAGGAAGGTCCCAGCTTGGCCTGTGGGGACTCAGGTGTGCTGAGTGAGTCTCCTGGCACGCATGCCCCAGCCACGTTTATTCACGGCAGCTGCTCTTGGAACGGGCCTGAGTGGAGCCTGGGGACCCTGGGACCTTCAAAGGCAACCCCACACTCCAGAATGTCTTTCTCCGGAAGCCTCCCTAAAAGAGATTCAGGTCACTAGACTGGAGCCAGCTTGACCCCTGCACTGGGCGGAGGGAGACCTTGCCTGGGTGTGGAGTCCGTCTCCGGGAGCCTCCCCGGTCAGGTGGCATTTCACAGGTTTTGCAAGCCAGACTCAGCCACGACAGCCCCACCCCACGTGCGTCTTCCTCAGTTTCCCCATCTCAACAAGGAAAGGCCCGTGCATACTCCCAGCTGCCAGCTCCAGAAATCTCCGCTCGGGTTCCTTCACGCCCCACTTCTGAGCAGGCAGGGAACACAGAGGATGTTCTTCTGCCAAAACGTACCCCTCCTCCCCGCGTCACCCCCTTTCCACCACCCCTTCCGGTGGGGGCCAAACCAGCAGCCTCCTGCCGGGTTTCCTCCCATCCCTCCCGCGCACAGCAGGGGCTCTTCCTAAGACACGGCAGGACCGGGTTACTCACTTTGCTCTGCGCCGCCCCCCGTGACCCCCCCAGACTTGAGAATGGAATCCACTCACTCCCCGCCATCTTCGAGGCGCGGGCCAACCTCTTCCCACCTCCAAGCCTCCCTCCCCGAGCTCCAGCCAAGCTGGCCTCTTTTCTGCCCTGCAAACACACCACGCTGGGCCCTGCCTCAAAATCTTGTCGCTTCCTGGGCCTCAAAAGCCCTCGCGGGCTGGTCCACTCAGGCCCGGATGACACCCTCTCGAAGAATCGCTCCCTGACCCTTACTCCATCTCCCCGAGGTGTTGTCCTCCCCGCACTCGGCGCGGGCTGGGGTGATCGCAGCCTGTTTACACGGTGGCTAACCGTCTACGCAGCCCGGCTGCGAGGTCAGGGCCCCGGCTGCATCCCCGGCGCGGGCACGTCGGTGGCGCCCAGCAGGTACTCCGCATGGTTTCCCTGGTGCCCGACCCACACTCGCGGCGCGCCGCTCGCATTCTCACGCCCGGACTCCCCCGCGTCGCCGCGCCGGCTCGCCCCGACTCCCTCCTGCCCGTTTCGCAGCCTCGTCCCCGCGCTCGCGGCGCGCCGACCCTCGGGGAAGCGGGTCTCTCTAGGGGCGGCGGCCCGGGCCTGGGACCGGATGGGAAGCCCCGAGAGGCCGCCCCGGGCGGGGTGATGGGGGCCGGGGCCGCCATGGCCGCGGAGGCGGGGCCGGGGCTCGCAGCGAGGGTGGCATTTCCCGCGGCGTTCGGGACGCGGGGCGCTCGCTTACCTGGGGGCACGGCAGGGGCGGGCGGCGGACGCGGAGAGGAAGGAGCGCGCGCACCCCGCACGCGGCCGCCGGACTCTGCTCCCAGCGCGGCCTCTGCCGTGGGGCCCGGCGGTAGGCTGGGGTGGGGGGACCGGGGCGGGGCCTGGAGGGGCGGGGCCTGGAGGGGCGGGGCCGGGGCGGGCCCCGGCGGGGCGCAGGGTCCTGGCGGGGTCCTGGCGGGGTCCTGGCTGGGTCCTGGCGGGGTCCTGGCGGGGCTCGGCCCTCTCCGCCAACGAGACCGCTTCCTGGACCCCAGCCCCGCGCCGCCGGACGGGCATAGCTCCGCCCCCCGGCCCGCCCCCGACCCACCCCCGGCCCGCCCCCGAGGCCCGCCAGGAGGCGCGCTTGGCGGAGATCCAGCCGCAGGTCTTTTGCCTGCGCTTTATCTCTCGCCTTTGAACCCCGCGCGGCCCGCGCTCAGTCTGGCCCACGGTTCTGTTCCGTTCGCGGCACGTCCGCCCGACCCCCTCCCAGGTCCCCTCTTCTGGCCTGGCTCTGACCCGCCCATCCGCATACACACCGCGGGCGCCCTGATCCGCGGGATCTCGCGGCAGGGCGTTGCTGGGGGACGCTCGCACTCCGTCTCAGGCCTAGAGGCCCCCTCGGGTTCCTCAAGCCTGGAGACGTCTCCCAGCTCGCAGGCCAAGACGCCCCAGTTCGTGGTTGTGAGGCCGAAGCGTGCGCAGGAGCCAACTGCGGGGTTGGGAGGTTGGGAGTGGAGGAGGTCAGCCAGGCAGACCCTGGTGGGCTGCGGGGGTCAGGAGGTAGAGCTGTGGAGAGAGGCAGCGTGGGTGGTGGCGCAGTGTAGCCCAGGACCCTCTCTTGTCAGGTGGTGCAAGCGAAAGTGGCCCAGGATCAGCAGCGCCCCAGAGCGGGGAGCCCGGGCCAGCCTCCAAGGGAAGACAATGCTGGACGAGGCAGAGGTGGTCTGTGAACCCCTGTGTCCCACCTGGGGGGCTCATGGTCCAGCTGCTCCGGGCTGAAGGGAAGGGGTTCCAGAGCAGCTAGGCCATCGTCTCCTCATCTGGAAAACCGGCTTCACCTTTGGACAACAAGCCTCTCCTTGAAGCAGATCCAGGGCAGGTGGGGGAAGGCCCCACCTTCTTGGCTGTGGGGCCCCAAGCAAGTTGCTTCACATCGCTGAGGTCTGATTTCTACACGTGGGATAGCGAACCTGCGCCTCCCAACCCAACTTCGTGTCTCTCGCACCTGCTGTTTCCTCCACCAGACTGCGATTTCCCTTTTCAAATGTGTGCATCCTTCTCCTTCAGGCCTTAGGGCCCTCTGCAGAGCACCCCACACCGCTACCCCCAAGAGCTCCTTTGTGCATCAGGGAGAGGAAGGGCCATAAAGCTGCTTTATGGCGTTTAAGGCGACATCACCTTGCGCCTGTGGGTGCTCGGAGCCCAGCAGCTGTTTCTATTCATAGTAAAGGGAGACATAGTGGAATGGGGGAGTCCAGACCCCAGGAGAGAAGCAGCAGATCCCTGGAGAAGAGATGTGGGCCCAGGTCAGAGAGAGATTTCAGGCGGGAGGTGGGGTGGCTGGAGGGAAGGGTTAGCCGGCAGGAAGAGATGCTGGCTGAGCTTTTTGCCTTTGGGCTGCTGCTTGGCTGCCTTATGCCCTCCTTCCCCTACCCCCACCCCATGGGTGAGCATGGAGTATTCAGGATGGGCTTCCTAGAGGAGGTGACCTCTGAACCTGCGAGGTGAATGGAGGGGGGCATTAAGCCGAGTTAGGGTCCAGAGGTGAGTGAAGAAGAGAGGACAGCCACCAAAGGCGCTCCAGGGCTCTCCCATGACAGACACAGTCAGACTTCATTTTCGATTCTGCTGTGGGTGCTTCTGCGGCCCAATGGGGGAGGGGGGTGCAGACAGGAGAGAAAGGAGGGACTCCAGAGGGATGTAGTGGTAAACTGGCCAGGGCCCTGGGCATCAGGGGAGGCCGGGACCTGGTTGGCAGGAGCGGAGAAATGGGAAGTCCATTGTGGGGTGTCTGGGGAGGGGCAGCAGGGACCCTAGGGAGGCCCAAAGCTGGGACCTAAGGGAGACAGGGGGAGCCCCTTGCCTTTCCTCCAGGTGTCCACACCTTTAGCGCTTGAATGGGGGGCAGAAGGGTAGGACCAGGGCAGCAGAAGCCCTGATCCAGGTGGAAGAGGCTAGACTGTTGATTCAGACGATGGAGAAGGGGACCACGAGCCAAGCAAAGCAGGTGCCCTTAGAAGCCGGAAACACATTCTCCCCAAGAGCTTCCAGAAGGAATGTAGTTCTGCACACACCCTGACTTTAGCACAGGAGACCCGTTTGGACTTCTGAGCTCCAGAACTATCAGATAAATGTGTGTTGGTTTTTTTTTTTTTTTTTTAATGTCTGTTGTTTTAGGCCACCAAATGTGTCATCGTTCATCCCTGTTGAAAAGGAAACTCACACAGACCCCCATCCTCCCACCCAGAGACCTACCTGATTGCGCTCTCAGGAACCCCTCCCCCAACACACACATCTGCACTCCCTTTCCAAATCAGCAGCCTGGGGCCCCACCCAGGTCAGACCCCCCAATCCCCCCCCAGCCATGTGCCCCCACATCACCCACCCCCTCCAGACCTCTGGTCCCCTCTGGTGGTCTCCAGGGCTGCTGCACCTTTGTTCCAGCAGGGTGAGGACTGAAATCCCAGATGTCTGTTTGTCACTGCCTCTCTGTGCCCTGCACTGCCCAACTCATGCCAGGCCTGTTGCCCCAGGTCTGTGGCCGACTGTCCTCCCTGGCCCAGCCTTTGCCAATCAAGACTTCCGTTCACAATGGCGGGGGGGGGGGCATGTTTGTGCTGTGTGACATCGGCTGGGTGATGCAGCCCCTCTGAGCCCCGTGGTGTGCTCATCTGTGGAATGGAGGATAACCAGACCATCTGGGAGGCAGATACCTGGAGGGATCTCTGTCTCCATGCTTCTCCAACCAAATGGCCTGAGCCAGGGCTGGGGAGCATTACGACAGGTGGGATGGGGCGTGGAGAAGACTTTGCACTGATTTTTCCTTCTGCCTGGAACAACATTGCCTGCGAGTCCTCCTCCATCCCTTGGGTCTTTAGTGAAAGGTTCACCCTGCACGACCCATCCCACCGTCTCCTTGCCGTCCCCCTCCACAGCTCTCTCTCCTCAGCCCTCCTCCCTCTTGGTTTTTATATCCTGTGCCTGATGGCTGCCCCCAGAAAATGTTCACCCCTCAAGGCTGGGGGGGGGTCCATTTTGATCCTCCGGTGACCGTAACGCCAGGAAGGGGGCCTGGTACACAGTGTCTCACGGATGGTCTTGAAGGGCGGGGAGAACAGGGAGAGGCAAGGTGAGAAGTGAACTCTGTCCAGGAAAGGCTCAGGAGGGAGCCTGCTGGGTGTGTCTGTGAGTCTGTGTGTCCTTGTCCGCGCGCCTCCAGGTCTGGGTCTCTGTGTGTTTCTGTGTTTCCTTGTGTGTGTTTGTGTGCAAGCATCTGAGCATGGACGCAAGCAGCCTCAACTTCTCTGGCTGCCTGCAGGGGTGGGGACACGGGAGGGAGGAAGATGTGCTTTTCTCCCTGGAGCAGCTCTGTCTTCTTCTAATTCTGCTGCTGCCTCTCCAAGGGCCCTCCCAGCTCCCCAGGGGCAGCAGGCTAATCCTCTTGAGTTGATGCCACCCCCGCTGGCCTGAGGTTCCCAGCAGCCAGGCAGGGAACAGCATGACTAGGTAGGGAACAGCATGACTGCGTTGACTCCAGGCACACACGCTGGGAGCTTTACGGAGGTGAAAATCTCCAATCCTGTCTGTGAAGCAAGTGCATTTAAAATTCCCATTTCACAGATGAGGACGCAAGCCCAGAGTGGTGCAGTTAGCTGCCCAAGGCCACACAGCCAGAGAGGGGGCAGTTTTGAACTCAGCTCCTCCTGACCTCTTATCGTCCGCCAGCAACACCCCTTTTCTTTCCCTTTGCAGGGTTGGAGGCACCCAGGTGGGGACACAGAGGATCCTCACCCTTCCTCAGCCCTGGCAGACACACACCTCTCATTCCCTCACTCACTGTCCATACTTCCCTATCCCCAGGGCTGGCCTGGCCCCCTGGGGGTGATGGGAAAGGGCCCCCACACCTACCTTCCGGGCTCCTGGGTCATTGATTCCTGCCTTCCCCCTTCCACCCCACCCTGACACTCCAAGGGCATCCAGGAAGCTCTCATTTCTCCCAATCCCCACCTGCATGCCCGCAAGGTCTGTACAAACCGGCAGATAAAACGTCCTGGGCCCGGAGGTGCTGTGACCAGCCATCCAGTGTGGCTGGGACACGGGGCTTCCAGTGCTGGCACCAGAGGGCCCTGAGCTAACTGAGGTGCTTGGTCATCCTGGTGGGAGGTGAGGGTACTTGCCCTTGGTGACACAGCAAGACTTGGAGCCCCCATGTCAACACCTGCAGATTCAAGACAACATCCCCTCTCCTGGATTTGATTAGGAAGAAATTGAGTACTATTTCATTGTATTTTAATTTTTTGAGATTTTATTTATTTATTTGAGAGAGAGAGAATGAACAAGAGAGAGCATGAGGGGTGGGGAGGGGCAGAGGGAGAGAGAGAAGCAGGTTCCCCACAGAGTAGGGAGACCACTCACCCTCGGGGGCTCCATCCCAGGACCCTGAGATCATGACCTGAGCTGAAGGCAGACGCTTAACCCATTGAGCCACCCAGGCACCCCTTTATAAGTCTTTTTAAGATAGGAGATGACAATCTCTGGTTTGCATTGAAATGTTTTTCCTTTGGAACAGTTAGTACATAACATTCAAATGCTGCGCAAGGGTTTACTAGAGCCAAGAGTCCTCCTACCCTGTCTGTCTCCCAGGTCCCCAGCTCTGCTCCTAGAGGCTCAATAAATTGGTTCAGCTTCCTGAAATTAGTTTTTGTGTATAAATGTATACCTTCTTTTTCTTCTTTTTTTTTTTTGCACTTTTAATTTTTTAAAAAGATTTTATTTTTTAAAGTAATCTCTTCACCCAGCATGGGGTTCGAACCCACAACCCCGAGATCAAGCGTCACGTGTTCTCTTGATAGAGCCAGCCAGGCACCCCCTCTACTGTAACATTTTTAAGTCC